GGGGTCCTTAGAAAGTTGACGTCAACAATGATGCTGTAAATGGTTGGGTGGTGGGGGAGAAAAGATTTATTTGATATGTATTTTTACCGAGCTGAGATGATCTACCCCTCTTTAAATAAATTTCTCACATACATGAAGTAGATCTCTGACTTGTCAAAACATTTTCATCATAAACAATTTCAAGTTCTGTTTGATTTTCAGAGGTAATTTACCCTTTTGTATGGAAACAAAAACTGAATTACTGCTCCGATCTCATCTTTTGGCCATTTTTGTGAAGTGGTTGCAATCTTTGTTGCGATTTGGTGACACGGTAGCATTTGTTTTGACAATTATAATTGACGGTGCACCCTAATCAAGGATTCCCTGAACTACTAAATATGTTTCACAAAATTATTGAAAACTATTAAACGGTTATAATTTAAACATGATTATGTTACTGTTATTTCTATGATACCCTTTGTAAGACTGAGAGGCACTCGAATTTACAGAGGGTCTAAAAATAGAGGACACAAATACAAAATGTTATCAGCCTCATGGGCGTGATCGATACGTTCTGGTTTTAGGACAAAGATGGTGAAACCACGAAAGTCACATCGGATGGCTATATCTCACTGTGGGGAGAAAGTTTGGGAGAAGTTTTAGGAGAAGGTCTTATCCTGTAGAGGCCTGAAATCCCAAACGTCAAGAGTGGCCCTAGTGTGGTTGTAAGAAATGTTTAGGGAACGTCTTATAAGCCGAAAGTTTACAAATGAAATGGTGACCATAATATTTCCCCTAACTTCTTTGGTTTTGATTTTTAAAACAATTTTTAATGGACAGAATTAGCGGAAACAACCCACAAACAATCGAACAGTTGGAAACTCAGTGACCCACTTATTGCCCTTTTAATGACCTCAGCAGTTGCGAGCGCCGTAAAACCCTATACTATACATTTTAATGGGTCCTCTTTTTTAGACACCCAGTACTTGCCCTAAGATCCCCTCAACGCCGCAAGATTTGTGCTCAAGATTTGCGAGCTGGAAGACACTGGTGTGCGTGACCATAAGATGACAAGGGTCTTATGAAAAATAAGTTCACTCCATCCCAAACGATACAGGCGGACACCAAGGGTGCCCTTATAACTCTAGGGGCCTTGAGAGACGAGATATAAAAAACGCAACTGGAATTAGTGCACAGTTGGGTGATACCAGAGAGGATTTACAGTAACAGTTGTATTTCTGTAAAACTGCCTAGTGATACACTGAAGACAATGGGAGCGGTCACATGAGCGACAGGCGTTATTTTCAGTCCTGGCATAGGGCTAGCAGACGTGAGTCGCCCTCATTCTGCTACGCCGCAATACACCAGCGTTTTCGTGAAGCACGCAGGTCAAGGGACATTTACTGCTGGCGCTTTCCTACAATAGTTGCGTTGGGTTGTTATTTTCGCATCTCATTCAACACGACAATATTCCCACCATGACCAAAGCCACCCTGACTCTCCAATCGTCCATGTTGAACTGAGCAGTAGCCTAGCATTAAATTACCCCGTGTGGCTGCCACATAAAAGTAAACGACACTTTCTGCCCAGAATTTACTGCGCGACAATTGTAGCTCGCCTGTCAAGGCCCTAATAAAGACCACGGACCGAGTCAGAAAAGAGAATAAAAGCCTTTTCTTAGATTTGAACGGGTAAATCGGGCTTAAATTGTGATGATATGAAACAAATCCACCTAGGGCCTAGGCTAGCTAGATACACGACACACTCAAGCGACACAGTCAAGCCTGGGCGCAAGTGGGGGGAAAGGAGGTGGGGGGAGGGGGGGCGTTGTTCCTGCCTAGCAGACAACCTGGTTTTGAAGGCTGTTTTATTCACCTTGATCTAGAGTTTTGTGTCGCGTCATGGTTCATGGGCCTGGGGTCAACATGGTTCGAGAACCGGTTGCTGACTGGTGCAGGCGACACGTCGGTCTACATTGGAAGATCCAGAGAGAGTTTAAATGGGTGGTGTGTTCAGAAAAAAATACATTAACGTGTGTGGATTTCGGTCAAGGATTGAAATGTAGTAATATTCATCCAGGATAACAATCATACCCTCCGAGTCTTGCAGATAATTATCATTACTGGATCCTGTGTGTTTCTGTTGGTCCATGGAACAGTGTATTATGTGTAGGGCCCAGGCTGGCTGGTTTTCTCTTTAGACAGTGACCTCATTTATTGTCCCCGACTGCAGTCATTTGTATTTAAAATAGCGGGTTGCAGAATTTCAAACCAAGATTGTTTCAAATTTAGTTCTCATGAAAATAATAATACAAGAAAATTAGTGTTCTTTCACTCAGCTTCCGTGTTCATGTGAAACAAAGATAACCCCTTGACGGTCGATAGGAAGTCCACCTCGGTCGTTTGACACTGTCAGACAGCTGAGAGGTAGGGGCACAAGAAATATAAACTGCAACACAACTGTTACACAACAATTACTTAAAAACCTGATCTGTATGCCTAAAATAAAAAATAAAAGATTGATTATATGTATGGGTTTTATTAAGAAGAAAACTACCTGTTTAACTGCTTGAACGAAAAGCGTCGAAATTGTGTGCATATTATATTTGTGAATTTAAATTTATAAAACACCTTCTAAGACCTATCCAGATCTCTTCTGGATCAATTTAGGTTTGCAGATTATTTGTCTCAAATTTGTGAACGGATTCCTCTGATTTGGAAGAATGGGAGCTATTTGCTCGTGCTTTGCTTCGGAGGAACCTGGTGAGTTGTGGACCCCCCCCCC